GTAGACTCTGTCCCCAAAACACTTATTTCCCTTAAGGATCAAGTTTGAGTATAAATTAAAACATCTTGGTGGCTATGATGAAAATGAACTACCATAGGAAGTTTATTTAAAAGCCAGAAAACATACCTTTCTGATTTTTTTTTTTCTTAACAGGATTACATCATGAAAGCACATTTGGTGTATTTACTGGAGGTTTCAATCTGGCTGCTAAGCAATCTCTGATTTCTGGTTATATGAGTTTCTTAATTGGACTCTTAAATTATTCAACTGTTCAGACGTACTTTGTGCAAGCAGGAAATAATTATAAGTAGCAATAACAAAACGTTATCCTTTTAACCAGTATTTTTTCCTTTTCTTTTTTCTTTCAGGAATTTATTTCACATTCTACATTACTTCCAAAACTTTCCTCTGCTATTTGTAAAATCTGATTTGATGTTGCTGAGGAAGAGACCTCAACTTCAGTGGATTTAGAAGGTAAGTTTCTATTACATTATCAAACACTACACTTAATCCTAAGAATGTCAAAGTAAGTGTTCCTGCCACCTGTACAAGTTAGTCTTTATATGATTTAGTGTCAAGGGTGATTTCATATAATGAGGTACAAAGAGTTAGTTACTGTCTCATACCCTCCCAATCCTCAAGTTCTTGATCTAAATGTCAAATTTTCACTAATGGGGAAGCCAGAACAAAAATATCAAGCTTTGAGGGAAAATATTATAAAAATTTCTTTGCCACCTAAGTGATTTTTTTTTCTGATTTGATGTAATTTTTACTGTATTATGTCTCCTTACTGTATTAATTTTACTATGCTATATAATTTTTTCCAATTTACTTTTTGAATGTGATGGGATAAACTGGTGGTCTATGTTAATAGGAGAAAAGCAAGCACTGAAATCAATAATTGTAAAAAATGTCTTGGGGGCCAGCCGAGTGGCGCATTGGTTAAGAGTTGGCTTGGGACGCCAGCTCTGAGAAGTAGAGCCCCGGTTCGGATCCCACATGAGGGCCAGTGACGTTGCGCCCTCTACAGCTAAGATGGTGAACAACAGCTCGATCTGGAGCTGGGCTGCTGTGAGTCGCAGGCAACAACGTAGGCTGCAGCGGGGCTGGCCGGCAGCTGATGTGAGCTTTTGTGAGCTGCTGTGAGCCACCGTCCAATGGCTGGCGAGCAATTGCCTCACCTGGGAAGAGCACAATGATAATACCAACATGTGCCAGTGAAGCGACGTCCTCCATAACTAGGCTGAAGAACAAAAGGACAGCAACTTGTCTGTTCCCCTCCCCCAATTCCCCAATAAAATATTAAAAAAAAAAAAAGAAAATGTCTTAGACTAGGCAACACCATGCCTGGGGCCTAGAGAAGTTCCTCATTAAATGTTGTTTTCATTTGGTACCATGTCTTATGCCCAGAATAGTGCGTTCCCTCATCCTTTGCTTCTGGAATACATTTGAGTTATAGGAAAGGGGGAATAGTGTGATGCCATGGTTCAAGAGAAAGTAGGTTATCTTACTGCTGTTAGCATTCACCTGTCACTGCAAAAGAATTTACATCTATTAACCTGTAGAGTATAATGGCTTTATGTTCTTGAAGTTAAAATTACGCACATGAGGAAAGACGATACAGAACAAGTAGGTATGTAACCACTGTTTCCAATATTCTGAACTGCTCCAAGAGGAAGAAATAACAATAGCTAAGATTCATATAGCATTTACTTTATCCTTGGTGGTATTTTAGGAGCTACACATATATTAACTCATTTAGTCGTCACAACAACTCTGAGTTATGGACAGTAATGATTCTCACTTTATAAGGAAACCAGAGTGCATATAGGTTATGAAACTTGGCGAACATCACGCTATAGATTCAGAAACTACTGAGGGGTCAGGCCAGGGTCTGCATGCTGATGATTTGGTTCTATACTCAGGACTCTTCATTGCTGTTCTATTATTCCTTAATGACTAGGGTCACATCATCACAAGAGGGCTAAGTAGTGTATCTACATTTTTCAAAATAAGTGTGGAGAGAAAAGCTTTTTAAAATAAGAACTCTGAATCTTACTCTTCTATGTGACAGAAAAGCTAGTTACAATACATTTTGCCCATGAAAATTATATCTGAGGACTTGTTTATGAAAATAATTTTCTGAGCTCAAATCTTATTCCAGAAGATTAGTCTGCATGGTACATTGTACATAATTTAATTTTCCCAATTGAACATCTTGACACTATATGAACCATGAATGCATGAAATAGGAATTTCAAATGTCTTCCACATGGTGAGAGGACTTTCCAATACTTGTGCAGGAAGCTGAAGAGTAATTTGAAATTAAGTTATGCCTGTTCTTAGTGACTTTTATTATGTATGCCTAAGGTATTAGCACTTTTCTCTGAGTGGGACCCTGAAGTGATAGATAGATGAGTCTGCTGTCTGTATTTAGGCACTTTGCTCATTTCCTGAGAGCTGTGTGGAAGGCATTTGGATGGTCATTAAGTTTCCAACCATTCCCCGAGAGCAACAGGTGGCAAATCAAAGCTCCCCTGGTATGTCATGGCTGGTTTCCTCAACGTCTTGGAAATAATGGATGGCATTTGCCTGCTCTCTGTAGTACCAGCAGATAAGAAGGAGATGAATAGCAACAGGAAGTATTTCCAAAGCATAAACAAACACACAAGTCGAGGGAGGTTATGACTAATGTTCTTGCTACCGCACTTTCTAAATCCATACATGGTGGTTTCATCTTTTAAATATTGTTATGCTTTCAAACTATGAAATCATGCTTAACTCTCCTGTGGTTAGCTATCTAATAGAAGCAACATATATTAAAAGAATAATATCCAAGTTCATGAAGCCACATCATAAAATTATAAACTATTAACTCTACATGTATAAATATCCAATGACTACTAGTGACTATGGTTATGTTCTTAAAACGTCTCCTTTACAAAATTACTTATTGATATTGAGCATCTACTGCATTATGAGGAAAGCTTATCACTCACGTCCTGAATCAGAGCAAGAAGACAAAGCTTATTCATCCGAAAATAGAATCTGGGATTTAAATAACATACTAGTTATCCAACAGTCCTTGGTAATTACACAGAAAAGTGAATGATAAAAAGATTTTAGTCAATTGATAGCTTCTTGTCACTATAGTCACTAATCAAAGTTAGAAAAGCAAAGGAAAATATCAGCTATTGATCTCAACAAAATTTGTCTGGCAACTGACCATAACCTTAGGAATAAAAGCATTTACTGGAGGTAGCATATCATCAACCTCCTTCCCAACTTGAAAAAGTTTAAAACATTCAGATTAGTCCACAGATGATTAGAGAAATGACCAGGGATATTTTTCATGGTGGAAGACTTAAAATAACTTAAAGGTAATGATAATGAATAGTAGTAACTGAAATTGTTTTTTGTTTGTTTGTGTTAGAGGGAAAAAACCCCAAATACCTTTACCCTATATACTCTCTCTCAACAAGAAAGTGCCTCACGCTCAGGAGAAGGGACAAGTATTTCAACACAGCACTGCGGTTCCTTCCTGTCATGCGACATGGTGTTGGCAGCACCGTCCTGCTAACTACAGACAAGTGCTGCAGGAAACCCCCCGGAGTCCTTCCAAAATGCCCTCCTCATTTTAAATGCCTTCCCCTTATTTGTAATGCTACCATGTTCTTTATAAATAATGATGACTATGGCTTTCTTAAATTTGTTTTAAAAATCTATGACCCTCCAATCATTTTTTAAAATCTCTTTTTAAAATGTGTGGGAATTACAAAGGAAATGCCATTAAATTTACAATACGAAATCACATATTATTTTATTAAGTTATTTTTGCTAAATAACAAATGATAAGGAAATAACTTTGGCTCATTAGTAAACTATTGTCATAGGGTCACTGAAGAAGTCAAAAACTAAAAATATATTAAAAACACACATCTGAATTTCTATACCACTAATCTGGAACCATCAAACAAAAAGCAGAACCAAAATTTCTGGGTGCCAACCTGAAAGGTATAGTTTTCAAGTCTGATAATTATACCAAATATATTCATAAACTATTACATATGATACCATATGATGTCTGGGAACTCAATAATTAAACATATTTATTCTAAAATCTTATCATTTCACGTAACACATTTCAAATGCAACTTTCATGAAGCAGTATACACAGCCTCACACTGAAACTAGGAATATTAATTTTAGAATGGTCTAATGTACAGTGGAGATCAATTCAAAACTTTAAAGGTGAGAAAAATGTCAGGAAAAATCTACTTGCATTACACTCCCCTATCAAAAGAATTCTAGAATTTAAAAAAGAACTTTAAAATAAGAAGCTGATTTGCAGTACAACTTTTATGCGTTGTCAGTTGCCCTGTGAAACATTTTAAACAATGAAAAAATATTTCTTAACATTTTTAGATGGTTTAAAAACATGTAAAACAATGTTTCAAACTAAGCTTCAAGCAATTATTTCAAGCGATACATGAAAAGTATATGGGTTAAAAGAGTTTAGTAAAATGATTTGTACTTCTCAGTGAGAATTATTGACAGGAAGTGGAAGCACAAAACATTTTAGAGGGATTATTATAATGGGTGAATCATAAAAACAGCTGTCTAAATGTTAGATTTATGGGGAAGTAGACTCTAATTCTGGTCAAAATTGGATGGGATCTTAAAAATAAAATGTGAAGGTAGACATTCTAGACTTTTAAAGAATTCCTGTGACTTCAAATGAAGTGGCTTTTATATTTGCCTAATTAAGGGGCATAGAAGGTTAAATAGCAGAATATATAGTCCAGATAGTAATGGAAAACTAGAGATACCTGTGCTTAATTTTTATTTCAAACATTTAATCCGTTGAGATGGCCTGGTGACTATTTAAAGAACAGCACTCTATATTTTTTTCATTTTTTTCCCCTATTTTCCTCCAACTTTTGTGACTCTCAGAATTGCAGTTCTACGAAACCAAGACTGTCAGTGCAGTATTTATTTACCTTTATCCCCGGAAGTCCAGGAAGCCCAGGAAGCCCTGGTTCACCCTACACAGGAAAATCACACAGGATTATAGAACAATATCCACTCAGTCATTCTCTGAAGAAAAGCATGGCAAATGTTCCTAGCTGAATACTTGTCATCTATATACACATGGTCTCTTTTCAAGAAGTTTGGTAAGATTATACAGTTCAGTCAACTCTTGATTCAGTGATTGGTTGACCATTTTTGCAGATTTTTCTGGGTTTTTCCCTTTTCCTGCCACTTCGCTGCTCACTGGCATCTTTACCAGAAGGCAAGAAAGAGAAAAGGAGAAGGAACTCCCAGGTTTTATTACTTCCTGGTAAATGATTTGTTGGGGAGGCTGAAGCTCTTTGCTGAAATGAGGGTTATGCGTGCCTCTAAATAATGCCTCCTAGTTCAGTGCTCTCTTACCTCAGATAATCAAGAGTTGGCTGTATGAACAGATGGTTACATCAAAACAATATACATTAAAAGTCTTGCTCACTTAAAAGTACAGTAAGATTTCTTTTCCATTCCTGAATGATGAGAAGATAAATGCACGGTTAATATTATACTTAACTCCAGCCCATATTTCTGACAATTGTTGAGTCTGGGTAACCCTGCTTAGCAATTTAGGGCTAATGGTACCATGCAGCTGTTCCTGAATACAGGTTTGAGATTAAGTGGTACATTTTGGGTGAGCATGCTGGAGTCACAATAAACCTTCTCATTTTCACAGAATGGTCTACATTATTTTAAGTACAAAGTATAGTGACAAGAGGTTACATTACTTAGAAAATCTCCCGAATTCCACTAAAGAAACACAATGGAATTGCTGGAGAAAATGAAAGCCCATCCTGTGTTTGACTGAGGTGACTATTTGTGGAAATAACATTTGAAGGTAAAAGGGTCACACAGTTTCATGATGGCCAATCGGTGGGATGACAGCTCTCCTAAAAGAGATAGGAGCATCAAACTAACCATGGAAGCAGTAGAGGGAGGCACTGCTTTTCATCTAAATGCTTTAACAACGCTCATTCCAAAGAAAATCTACTAGGAACAACCAGAAACTTCATTTTTAGTGTTATTACTTTCAAATTATGAAGAGTCATAACTTGCTCTAGTATTATCACAAAATGACTTCATACACTGTTTATCAAGCTGTATGGTCAGACACAGAAAGGACAATGACTTTCCTGATGGCTTAGGGCAAAGGTGCTTCAGGAATGCAAAAGAAAAGCTATTCTGTCTGAAACTGCAAATAAAAGTTTACACTGTGAACAGCACTAAGATGGGATGGGAGTAAGCCAGAGAAGAAAGGATGATTATTAAGAATGTGGTATTCCATTCAAAGAATTCCTGTCCAAGTAATTAAACTTTATACAGACACAACATTATACTTTTATTTTTTCTTCCTCTTTCATACTTCAGTCAATAAATTTAGGAAAAATTAGTTAAAAGGGCTTGTGTCCATATTTTACTGAAGATTCTCTTTTACTTTAAAAAAAGCATAAGGCCCTGAAAAACACTAAATTGCAGTAGTGTATGCAACCAACAAAAGTAAACATATTGGTGACAAATCTATTGTTTTTTATTGTTTAATAAAGTCCCCTAAAACTCAGGACATCCTATTTGAAATGTGTGGAAATGTACGGATCGTAACACTGTTTCCCAGCAGGAGTTCTCACTACACCCTTCTCTCCCCAAAATTAAAAAGATCATATGACCAATTTGAAGAAAGAGATTTATATACACGTGCATAGATAGAAACACTCCCATGTTTTCTAACAATGAGAAAGATGTATAAGACATTGAGGAATATTTTATAATGTAGACTGACTACTTACAGAGACTTTGAGCATTTAGCTGTTCCCTATATTATATGTGTATGTATGTATGTATATGTATGTATGTATGTATGTATGTATAGAGGTTGTAAATGTACTTATTAATGAACAAATGTTTCAGGAATTATTATTTCATATGCTTGTATTTTTATAAATTTGACCTTTCCAAACTTATGTTTACTATAAGTTGACATAATGAAAAATTATAAACTATTTAATGAGACACTTTCTGGAATATCTCTTAACATTTTTAGGAAGACATTTCTTCCTATATAATTTTTCTATCTTTATACCATGAAGGCTTATCTTTCAATTAAGAGCTAGCTATTTAATTTCTCCATTCTTGCCTATTCCTTCACTCAGAAACTTCTCTGAGTTGAGTTCTTGGGCATACACAGCCCAAGGTCAGATCTGGGTCATAATTAAGATTGTTTTGTTATTCCATTTGAAGCATACTTGTCCAAGAAGGTTAAACTTTATACAGATACATTATCCTTCTGCTTTTCTTTCCCTTTCACTCTTTACTCTCCATTATAGGAGATCCTTGTCTGCTGTCAAAGTTGGAATGCTGTTTTCACCCTATGTCCCTGTGTGACAGTGCTCTGTACTTCAAGACATAATTAAACTGTGGGGGATCACATATTTTTATGCCTTCAAAATTTAAAAAAATGTGGAGAGCTATGAAGGTAAGGATCACGTGGTAAAACATAATAACTATTTTATAAATCTATACCCTCACTTTACAAACATATATACACACTCTCATGTATCCATCATGTACTCTATTGTTGAGTCTAAAACAAACAAACAAACAAACCTATAATGAAATCATGCCTGCATTCTGAATGTTACTCTAAAGAACAAACTTTCCTACTCCAAAATACCAGACTGTGGAAAGCTCATCAACTGGCTTTTCCTTCTGTGATGATATCCTCTACTTTTCTGGGAATGTCCCTAACGCAGGAGCGTAAGTACCAGCGAACCCACAACACAGTTTTGCAGTGGTGAGAAAAATGCCACCGAAGGCCTCTTGAATTGATTCTCTACTCACTTCTGTTTGTCATTTTCTAATCTAAGTAAGCAGCAAGCATGGAAATACTCGACTTTTAAATCAATGCTTGGGTAAGTACTGCCAAATCCAGATATTAGACAAAGGAAGTCATAAATATTGTGGGAAAGTGAGATTGCGTCAAAGGGTAGAATCTGGCCTCAATATTAATGAAAAAGATGCTGCTCATTTCAGGGCACATGTTCATTCAGATTGGTTGTAAGCTTCTCTCAACATAATTTAAAACAGGTGTTTAATGAAATACAAAGAAATTCAATGTTTCCATATGCAAACCTATAAACTTCCAGAAATGAATCTAAACTGTATTTCTAAATAATCATAAAGCAATGTTTTATTAAGCAATTGAAAATCAATTTGGATCTTCCACTCTGAAAACAGTGGAACCTATACAAAATTTTGGCAGATTTTTTTTTAAAGGACATAACATTCTTGCAAATATTTCTTTTAGCACAGAATTGAAGAGCAGTTTAAATTTAGCCTTTAATTTTTGAAGACTAGGAGACCTAAAATTAGACCATGTGAGAAGATAGATTGCTTTTTCAAACCAAAGCAGACCATGGATCTGTGAGGATGTCACAAATTTTAAGTTTCTCAAATAAAGAATCAGTAGGGAATCTTAGGAATTAAATAGCAACATTTTCAAGAGTTCTGCTGGGCTCTTTGGAAAAGTCTCAACTTTACCAGAAATGGCCCTTCATGAATCATTACTTTTAGATTCTTAGTGTCAAGAGAAAAATCTAATTTTCTATTAGAAAACATTGAAAGAATGTGAAAGGCTGTCTCAAAAATTACTTTAATCCTAACTGTTTAAAACAAAGCAATGATCCTCTCAGATTGCAAGAATGGGGACACATTATTTTATTATGTTTTAAGGTTCCAAACTAGTACAAGGGAATTTATTCTCTCTTTCTCTCTTTCCCTTTACACTAATGAGGTAAATTCTGTTTCTATTCATGTTTTTTTTTCTTTTTCTACAACATCAGCTACTGCTAGACAAAGGCAGAGTCATGCTCTTCAGAGATTTAACCTAATATGGAGTTCACATTTACTTGTTAGCTATAATACATCTGTTATCTCAAATCTGACTGCACTGGGCATTGATATCCAGATGCTCAGACGATAAACTGCTAACAGTTGTTTCCTGCCTCAGACTGAAATGAGAATATGAATTTAAACATATTCACTGCCTGTCCTCTAATTTATCACTGAAATGAAGTGCAAATGATAAAATAAATTAATATGTATCTACAGATTGGTTTGAGTGGTTTGGCTAGTGTCTCCAATTAAATTTCACTTTATGAACAAGCCTCTTTGCATGACATTCAGTGCATTGATAGTTATTATTCACATAAAAAATTATCAGGGAAGTATTTGAAGTGAAAGGAATATAATTTTTAAAAAACTTTACATCATTCCCTATTGAGACGGTTTAGTAAATATTCATTTCTTCTCATGAAAGATAGAAACAGGCAGAGTATCTTTAAACATGCAAGGTAAGTTGTTGGCATTCCAACCCAACTTATCTTTGTTAGTCTTAAACAGGTCAGTACATGCGGACTTGGTTCCTACAGCATTGTTTTATGTGTAGAGAGTATGTTTTCACTTTTGCTGTATCAACATCAACCCTTTTAAAATGCAAATCAATAACACTTGGCATGCAAAGCATAATAAACTACAACACTGTGCAAGAATTGTTTTTGTATTACACAGTGGATAGTAGATATAAAATGGTAAATATGAGATAGTACAAAGAACACACTGGGATAGAGAGATTACCTTTTGCCCTGGACGACCAGATTCTCCAGGTTCTCCCTGGTCAAAGAAAGCCAAAGGTGAGAAGGACAGTCTTACAAGCATTTTCCAAAATGCTTAGGCCTCTGGACACTCTCACAAAGATGGCCCAGCCTCCTTGGTCACATGCATTTCATTTACTCCATTCTGTTAGTCTCTGTGTCAGCAGACACAGGAATTTTTTTTTTTTTTGCTGTGATTAAAACTCACATACAAATCCACATTTCCATAAAAACCAATAGAAAGGGAAGAGAAGGCAAGCCCTCTTATTTAAGCCTTTATCAGATTTTTAGCAGATCCTCTCTACTGCATTTGGAAGCTGATAATTGCTGGAGAATAGGAACAGAGTTATAACCATTAAGGCTGGTAAAAGAGAAGAGAAAGCAGAGGCTTATAAAAATCAAAACTGTAACTCCTGGAGTACAAACACTTGCAAGGCTATAGTTACCTTAATTCCTGCAGCAGATGATCCTGGGTCACCCTAAAATGAAACCCATGAGAGATTATTCCGCAGTCAAGGGAATAGGAAACACACAAACACGTAGACAGCCGTTATAGACAGGGTCACTCAATGGAACCCCATGACTAATGGGCTTGACCAGGCTCTGTAAAACTTTCTATCAATATGTCAGCCATTTAAGATGTCAACGATTTCCAAGATAAACAATGTACTTTTCTAAAAAACATGGGTTTACTTTGCATGCAAAACACATAAGGACTACATTCCTTGAAATAAATATAAACATATAGATTTGGATCTTTTCCATAACATAGTGCTAAAATTGTATCCTAAAGCAATAAATTACAATTTGGGGATCTGGAAGTTTGGTTTCCTCTATTTCTGTAATTTATTAATGTCATTGGCTACCATGTAGTGGGAGCACCCTGACCCTTTCAGTCTTCAGAAAGTCAGGGTTCAACAGATGAAGTCAAGGGTTAATGAGGCTGAGTTGGAAAAAGCCACGTAGCAGCTCAGATTGTCTTCCTCATGAAGCACTGTCACAGTTATGACTGGCTTGTTTTGCTTTTAGCTTTACACTTATTTCATTGTAACACAGTCACCAGAAAGTTACAGGATGATGAATGACTTTTGGGTGACAGGGACACATATAAGATCTGAGAAAATCTTGAGATAGAATCTGGTTTTCTAAAAGGCACTGTGTTCCACCCGGATTTCATAGAGGGTGACTATATTTTGAGAGCAAATATGTTACAAATAAGCAGATAGGGACTAGTGGAAAAGAATATGGAGCATGGCTGAGAATGCTGCTTATTTCTGAAATTTTCAAGCTCCTTGTAGTCCTCTGTTTCATGAACATGCTATAAGGGAAATAAAGGGAGAAGACTTGGTCATTTGAGACTGTCAAGAAAACAGAAACAGCCACAAGGAGGGAGGCACGTACTGGGATTTCCTCAGCTCTCATATCTGTGCAAGTGCTCCAGGAGCTGGAGGGGTCTATTTCCTTGTTGTAGATTTAGGAAGCTGCTCATCAATCTCTCTTAGAGAGAGAGATAAGGCCTCAGGCCTCTGTCCATGGAGCACTTGTGCCTCTCCCTCAATTCCTCTCTCCTTTCCCCTCTTCCGTGTCTGGTACCTTCTCTTTCTTTGGGTCTTGGCTCTAGTGGCTTTGCCTCAAATAACCCTTCACCAACCAACCTAGACACATGCCTCTCACATACACATGATACTGGGCAGCATAGCTCACTTAGGAATTATGTTTTCTGCCTATTCATTGTCTGTCCCTCCATTAGACAATCAGATTTAGTGTTTATTTTTATTCAGTGTATGGCCCATAGTATATGCTTGATGCATATATATGGTGAATGAATGAACAAATCTCAAAAAGAATGTTTTAAGCAAGTCAGAAGTCAAGAATCAAAATTTAAAAATCTTTAAGAAAAAAAAGCTTAGGAAAGAGAAGGAAATAAATTTGCTTATTAAGGAAACTGATATGTGTGTGTGTGTGTGTGTGTGTGTGTGTGCATGTGTGTATATATATATATATATATGATTCTTTGATATCTGTAATTACAAGTACCCAAGAAAAATTAAAACATGATGAAACATAAAGAAGAGGACCCCAAATACTGTCTTACTATGGAATGATACTGATTTCTCTTCCCAATCATTAACATTCAATTGAGTTCTGCATGGGAAGTGAAATAAGTGTGACTAATAAAATAATAATAGTTATTTATAATTCTACAAAATCAAGTCTGAGAGCTATCAACGCCGATGAATCAGGTTTGCAATATTTTGCACAATAAGACCTTTGTATCCGTAAAAGCAATTCTGACTTGGCTAAGTCCCTTCTTTCATCTAACTTATACATCACAAAACTCCCAGGAGATGAGGCAGATATTATTATTTTCATTTAATGGATGAGGGAATTGCAACAACTAGAGGCTAAGTGAATTTTGGATTTCCTAAATTCTATTGCCATGTTCTTTTTTAATGGACTAAGAAAATAATTATTGGTTTATTTCATTTTGACAACAAGACATAAAGGTTGTAGTAAATTGTAAATAAAAGGAAGTTCCTTGTATTAATTGTAGTTTAACATTTTTTCCAGTGTTTGAACGGAAAGTAGCTATATAATCCATCCACTAAGGAGAATAAAGACTAGATTTAGTTCTCATAGAAAGTGAATGGGAAAAAACGGCAATTTTCTGAAAGGCTGATTTGTTTGTAGAAATCAGAGCAGTTTCATTTGATGGACAGCTATGAGTGATATTTTAATTCTCTTTTTAAAAAAATTAGAACTGTGAAATCTCAAAGAATTTTTGTAACTTTTAAGTGGCAAAGCATCTGCTGGAAGGCATTCATAAGTTAAACATTTTAAAGGATAATGCTGCAAGTGGTGGAAATCAAACAGTCAGTGTTTATAATCCTCATTCCTCTACCAGTGAAAATGAATACAGTATTAAAGTCAGAAAAAACCCACTGTGTCTTAAGTATACTCCTACCTTCAAAAATCAGTTGGTTTGGAAATAAAAGTTTTCACAGGGCAAGTCATAAATGGGGAAAATACTTTGAGAAGATACTTGAAGTAAATGAATTTGATTTTATTATTTATCATTCAAGCACACAGAGCTTCGTTTTTGGTTTGATTTATTTTCAAACACAAAGCTCATTATATAATTATATGTGTTAATAACATCTCTGTGGCTATATGAAGTGAATGTGGGCACATTTCTATCATTCAATAATTTGTTCAATGAATATTTATTGAGCACCAATTATGTGCCAGCCATGTTCTGGATGCAGAGATGCTAGGAGCTGGGAGGCACAGTTGCCACCCCCATTCTTGTCTTGTGCATATGATATCATTTACTTGTACATGTGCACAAAAATATTACTGATTGAAAGCATGAAAGATACTTTCTTTTCATTAAAAAAAATCGGGGTGGGGGGGTGGCCCGGTGGCTCAGTTGGTTAGAGCACATGCTCTTCACAACGAGGTTGCCAGTTCAACTCCTGCATGGGATGGTGGGCTGCATCCCCTGAAGCTAGATTGACAATGGCGACTGGACTTGGAGCTGAGCTGCACCTTCCACAACTAAGATTGAAGGACAACAACTTGGCTGGAGCTGATGGGTCCTGGAAAAAACACACTGTTCCCCAATAAAATTTTAAAAAATATTAAAAAGAAATCTGGGATAGGAAGAAATTCTCATGCTTGGAAAATTCTGCATATCCACAGAACATGATAAGCAAATGAATGGTACAAGTTCTGCTATTAAGTGAAAATGAAAAACAGTTGAAAGTAAAAAAAAAAAAAAATTAACAGTTCACTCAATAAATATCATCTTCCAAGTATGTGCCAGGAACTTGGAATGGTGCTAGAAATATAACAGTTGGTATCAAATAGTTGGTATCATATAGTTTTTGTTTATTTGTTTGTTTTTTTCTTTTCCAGCGAGCTAGGTATCCAATAAACAAAGGATTACAGAATTTTAAGTCATGATACAGTAATGAAAGGGATCATTATAAGTCATGATACAGTAATGAAAGGGATCATAAAGAGTGCTGTGGAGCATACAGTAGATAACCTAACCAATTCAGGGGGTTGAAAGGCTGCCCCAGGGAAATGACATAAATTGAGGTTTGAGTGGACTGAGGAATAGGATTAGAAGATGGAGGTGGAGGTGAACAGAGAGCAAGAGCATTCCAAGCTAAGGGAATCGTATGTTGTTAATTTAGAGATGGCTCTGCACTGATTGGAGTGGGTGCGCCCACTGCAATAGTTAGCTCTTCATGGTGATGTTAAGAAGACAATTTAATTGGTGGTTGCAAATATGGGTGTGGCTTCTGCTAAGGCTCAGAGGATGCCAATCAAAGGTGCTATGTAGGAATCAACTAAGAAGGCAGTCCATTTATAGGAATGGAGATTGGGGAGCAACGAAAATAAAGGCACAGACAGGCATTAGTGAAGATGGAGGACCTGAATCAACAGATAAAATTGTGAATAAAAGAGAGACATGATCAGCCATTCAGTGCGCTGTACAAACACCTCTTTTCAAGTGGGGGAAACAGATAAGAAATCCATTTGTATGTCTGCTCGTGGAATCAACACTCCAAAGAGCAGAACATAACCCTTCCACAGTGACTTCCACACACAATTGGAATCAGTCTCTGGCAGGTCATTCTTAAAGCTAGAGTGCACTGTACTCGCTGGCCATGGAGAAACCCAGCCCAGCGGTTTTTACAGTTCCACAGTGTTTCCAGATGACCAGTCTGGAAAGGCTTAGATTGCTTTACCATCCAAAGGCACTGAGTTGGATCAAAAGGGGAAAAAAAATCCTATTAAAGTGAATCAGTCACTGACGTAATTTACTACATCAATGGCAGAAAAGAAGCATTTTTTGATTTTACATCTCAAACTTGGTAAATGATGAATGAGTTTCACATACTGAAACAAAGGCCATGAGAAGGGTGTTTGCAACATGCTGGAAACAAATTATGTGACAGAAGCAGGAAATGTTTAAAAAAAACACATCAAAAATTATATTCCAATTACAGCATTCTCGGGGATGAACGCTACAGGTCAGATTACATATTATACGTTACAGGTTCCTATTTACAATTCCCTGTTTAGACCCATTGAAAGTTTATAGAAATGATTTCCGTTTTAACTGAAGCATTTCTTGTACTTAATTTCAGTTGACTAATAAAACTTTTTGATAAAAAAGAAAAACAACGAATCTAGTTGATTTCAATTTCCATGTGGTAAGAAAGCTAACATTTATTGAGAGTTTACTATGTGTGAGTCAGTATGGTAAATGATTTGCATTTAATATAAAAATAAGAATGGTATTCCTTTGAGATGAACTTGGTCTTTTCAAAGAAAAAAAGCAGTTTTATTATTGGAAAATTAAATTTTAAAAAATGTGTGATTAAAGAAACAATTATTGGCCTACATTGCAAAAGTGAAGCTTCAAAAATACATCTTCTAAAGCATAAAATTCTCTATATAAGTTCACATAGGTATAGTTCAGACTTGGCATAAAATTTTTTCTTATTTCAAGAAACTGTTCTCTATTTAGAAGATTTCCTTTCTCTAAACAGAGGTTGGCAACTATGGTCCATGGGACCAAATCAGCTATCCACCTGTTTTTGTATGGTTCCTGAGCTAAATGGTTTTTACATTTTTATATGGTTAAAAAAAATATCAAAGGCATAATAATGTTTCACGACACATAAAAATTACATGAAATTAACATTTCAGAGTCCAAAAAATAAAGTTTTATAGGGCGCAGCCACACTCAGTTGGGTGCATATTGTCTATGGGTGCTGTCACGCTGCAATGACAGAGTTGAGCAATTGTGACAGAGAGCATATGGCCCACAAAACCTAAAACATTTATTTTCTGGCCCTTTACAAGAAAAGTTTGTTAACCTATGCTTCTAAGCCAAACAAGAAAGCTAAATATAACACCCACGTTTATATATCTGGGGTTTGAAATTTTGACTCTGGGTGTAATCGAGTTATATCATTGGTCTCATTAGTATTAAACATATTCATGCCATATTTGATTATAGCATGATACTTAAATTTGACAGGTAAATAGAAGCAGCTCTCAACTAGGGGTAATTTTGTCCCTCAGGGGACATTTGTCTTGAGATGGGTTTAGTTGTCACAACTCAAGGGGCATGTATTGGACAAAGGCCAGGAATGATGTTAAACATCCTACAGTCCCCACAACAATTGTCTGGTCCTATATGTCAATAGGGCTGAGGTTGGGAAACCCCGGTTTACAAGAAACTGAGAGAGTCCACCCTAATTTCTAGACTGTTCCTCGTATACAAAACACAATTGCTACTTGATGATACCAGTTCATTCCACCACCATGCCATATTTATATCAGTATTTATAAGAATGAGAAAGATACATTTCTCTTTATTTTATAGGTATGTTTTAATGAGTAACCATTATCCATCGGTACAGTAATAATTTTTAAAGTAGAATATTCTTATTCTGAACTACAAGCCTAAATGAATAATTCAATTCTTTTTACATTATTCAGTTACTTAGCTTGATTTAAATTGAAATCTGACTATTTTATTTGCAGTTTCTTAAAAGATCTTTTTCTTAATTCTTAACATATTGCACAAATGAAGTAAAATATCCTTCTTATGTCAGGTATGTCTGTAAGTATGAATCTAAGCAAAAGCTGTAAATATAGACTGGGGAAAAAAGAGGAGATAGGGAGATGAACCATGAGACAACTGCAATATAAATACTGGTTGAAAAGATTAAAAATAATGACAAAACAAAAGCTGATAAAATATCTGAATTTAGTAGATTTCAAGTTGAGGCAAATCTTCAAGACTGCATTAGAGGCTCTAATCAAGTGACATTTACTTTCAAACTTTTAAATCTCATCTCATGTTCTCTCCTGAAATTGGGACAAATGGAATCACTTTAGGAACTCTGTTTTTATATCTCTGCATATAAAGGGAGTGTCCCATTTATACATGAATGAGTTTTTATTCTTGAAAGCCATATTATAGAAAGCTTAGCTACACATTTCCTAGAATTTGTGACATACCATTTATGTTTCAAATATTTAAATCTGTAGCTAGGAGGGGCTTGTGGCATAGCCACCTTTTATAAATTAAATATTTAAATATTTTTTAACTTATAAAATTACCTCTGATCTTGTCATATTAAGATACTACCATTCGATTACTTTTCTCAAAATCTCCCATTTTCATATATACAAACTAATATTCTGCTCATATTCACACTCTTCCATATTTCACAACACTTGTACCTTTTCGCCTGTGTCACCTTTGGGGCCACTCTCTCCAGCATCTCCCTAAGAGAGGGGAAAAGAGCAATACATGTAAAATATATTGGTGACATCATGCAAAGAATATTATCCATTATTTTAAGTTTTCTTTCAAAAGCACTATATATTAAAATCTGTTGTAAGTGTTCTACAGAGCTAACGTACTTTTACCTGAGCGGCTGCCTGATGTCACTGGTCCATACAGTTTTAAACTACTCCATAACATTGACAGAGAGCAGCAATTTCTCTGATTCCTAACAGCTTATCCTGCACTTAAAGTCTCCTTAACGCCATCTCTTTTCTCCTCTGCTCAAAGCTCCACTGTAACAGACTTTCTCCTGACTATTCCCTGCATGTGCCACGTGCCTCACCACCTGTGTCCTTCCTCAGGCCATTTCTGTCACCTGGACCCCTGTCTCTCCTTTCCCTTCGATCTGTATAAATCCCGCTACTCTTGTCTTCAAGCCCATCTCAAATCTCCAGAGCCTCAAAGTGTATGATCTGGTCCTCAAAACCTGTGCCCCGGGTATTTGATTTATCTGTGCCTACATGTTTGGCATTTGTGAAATGAATGTATTATATTGTATTAGAAAACTGCTGTTTTTAATCATAGTAAAACAAATTGGGGAGTTTATGCTTCCTTGGTTATTTTTGAGATTTCCTATGCCTAATCCCTCACTGATATCTCCTTCCTACCCAGGAAGCAATGCATTAGGAAAAAAGTCATTTGTTTATTACCCAAGCTTTGCTTCCTTAAATTCTGAATTCTTTAATTTAAGTCTTACAGCATGTTGTGGTAGAGTCATCATGGATTTGGAGCCAGAGAGCCTGAGCCAGATAGACCGAGCCCAGCTCCAGCACCCATTGGGCAAATGAAAATTCTCTTTGCATCAAATTTCTCATGTGTAATGTAAGGGCAAGAATACTTTATGGGGTCCTCAGAAATAAATATACTGTAAGGCATCTAGGATAGTATCTGACACATAAGCTGTTAATGATAGCCATTAGCAACAATAATGCAATATTGTTCTTACATCCCATAAGCTGGAATGCCCTTCCATCTTGCTTCATAAGAGGTCACTTTTCTATCATTTAAAAATTTCCTTAACATAAGAGAGAAACTACTGATAATGGTTTCCCTGGAGGGGAGGAGGCATGGTGAGGGAGGGAGACATTTACTGGTTTCTATTTTCTCTTCTTGTTTCAATAAGCATGAAGCTAACCTGCTCAGGCATTTGTCTCTGGTGATGGACAACCTGCAGCAGCCTGGCGAGACTGAGCTGCTTTATCTGCTTTATCTGATGAACCCTGGAGCAGTGCTGGCCCTGCTCCCTCTCCTTCCTTAATTTCTAAACAAGAGTCATCTGATGACTACTTAACGTCAAGTTAATTACCATGAACTGGTTGGATGCCAAGTAAATGTGCTGATGATCTATTATAAGGGATCTTTGATAGGCAGCCTAGGAGCATACTTTTTAAAAAGTTGCTTGGAAATCCCTTTATTAAAAAACAAAACAAAAAGAACAAACTTTCCTATGAGGAAGACTGACTTAGAGTGGTCATAAAACGAAGGGACTGACTGACCTGTCCTTGCTGGTTTGCTGTCCTTCCAGTGAAATAAATGTTGTGGGTTTTTTTTCCTTTTTGTTTTACAATGCCAAAAACTACAATTACATTCAAGAAAACTGCTGGATCTTTAGGTGTACTTCTTTTGGGATCAGAGGTGATAATTTTGATTTTTCAGAAAGATTGGATCGCTTCTGAAGAGCATTACACAGTACCTTGGTAGTTTCCTGTGCAGACGGCACATTTCTCAAACACTATTAAAGTAAATAGCATGAGAACCAGGAACACTAGCACTACAATATGCAGAGGATCTAAAAATAATCAGGACAACCCAAAGGTAGTAAGGAAGGATGTCCAAGAGAAATGTAACACATGGCACGCTCCTTTTTTTGTTTCTCTTTTTGGTTTTTATGGGAATTCTTTGTGGGGCAACTCTCAGTATATTTACTGCAGGTAAGCATCTGTATTCCTTTAACTTAGTGACCTAAGTAGCAGTAGAGAGATGTGGATGCTTAGAAAAGTGCCGGAGTGGCATTAGCGAGTGGAGAGAACAGAAATTTTCAGGCCCAGGGATTTTGAAAGCTCTTTAAAAGCCAGGTATAGAATGTTTAAATTTGCTCCTTTTCCTTCCTTTCTTTAAACCTTCTGTCCATACATAAAAATTATACTGTTTTCTCCTTGCACTAATTAATTGTTTGAAAAAAGACAACAGAGGTCATAATATCGATAACTATATTAATATATCTATGTCTATCTATCTACCATCTATCTATCTATCCATACTTATATACAGTACAGTTTGGTACCTTTTCTGGGGCAAGGGGAATATAAATGCAGGAAGAATCAGTCTCACCTTTTCTCCTCGTTCTCCAGGTTCTCCCTGGGCAAAAAAACAAAGGTTGACATGTTAAATTATAAAACACCTAATTAAGCAACACCAAAGTCAGATATCAAACATAGTACGTAAATCATATGTGACCCTTTCTTTACGTAACAATACATAGTTGCTGTATGAAAACAAATGTTTAAGATGAGTTTCCTAGAGAATTGGGTGTGGATATCAATATCAAATGTAATCTTAATTCTCTGCTTTGAGAGGACTAAAGAAAGATATTTAAGATTATCATTCTTAAACTAGCTTTTGGGACTCTAAGGGGAATAATGTGGTGGCAATTTATCAACTTGGGTGGCTTCTTAGTCTAGGATTTTTTATTCTGTCCAAACTCAGGATCAGTAAGGTGGGCTAGCACATCCCTCCATGACGTCTTTATTCAAAGCAGCCCCTGGTACGTGGATTATTTCAGGAGTCTGGGGTCCCGGTGTAGTTCCCCAAACAGTCTTCCCCCAACATGACCATAAACACAGTCCTGAACTTGGACCCCTTTCACAATGTCATGAACTCTCTTTAACCTACCAGTAACCAGCATGTTCTAAATCAGGTGTATTTTAGGAGGCATCAGTACCTTCAGGAAAGACACTGGAACGGGGCAGAATCAAACTGAGTTTAAGAGAATGTCTTTACTCCAAATCATGACTTGGGACAGTATGAAGACTAACATGAAAAATTGTGCTCTGAAGAGAATCTCGTTTTCCCTTTACCCAGGAAGGGTCGAGGATGGAGTGGGAGAGCTCTTAAGCAAATTACATGTTATGATAATATCCCCTATGTGAAAAGCATGAGAAATGCTGCCATGAGATCAACTCAAAAAATGGTTTAAGGTGATTATTGTGTTTTTAAAAATTATAACCCCCTTTGGGAGTCTGTTTGGAGGCAAGATTCTTTTCATTTACTGGAAGTCAGCCTGATCTTTTGGCTTTCTGAATTTCTGACCACCTTTCAGTGCTCAACATCCATCCTGATGGTTGCTAGGCAACAGAAGAATAGCACTAGAGCATGCATTAAGCGTTAACTCCTATCATTTGGCTTTTTAGCATGGAACAAGAGAGGTGAGAGATAGGACAATGGCAGAAGGAATATTTTCTTTCCTCTCCTGCAGGACAAAAGACAGGTCTATAAATTTTGGGTCCTTCCTAGGCGCCTGTCAATAGCAATGTGATCTGTAAAATCAGCTGACAGGCATCTGTGGGTATGGATAAATACCAGCACAGCTGATGGGATTAGACGTTAGTTTTGTGCTTCAAGGGATGTTCACTCATCAAAGGATTTGGGATTTGTCTGCCTGTTTGGTTTAAACTAAACTGACACCAATCTTTTTATATTTAACTGATTCATTTGTTCTTCAAGAAACAAAGAAAACTTGCAATCCAAAAAAAAAATCTTCATTACATTTTTTCCCTATTTAGTAATTGACATCAATTTTAAAAATTTTAAACATGCCATAGCTTTATTCTGCTCTTCATTTGACTAACTAGTTATGTTTTATAAGTGCTGGAGGTGGCCAAATGTTGAGGAAAAGCCGTAGTGGCACTGTGAAAATCATTTCTAGTAAGTTTTGTAAATATGATGCAAATTTTAGGCAGTGTGTATATGACGTACATTTTGATATGCTCATATTAAGTAGCAAATGACAAGTCATATTTGAAACATGTTTTTTCTCATGTTATTTAAGTACCCCAGAATATAGGTTTTAGACAGTCACATCCTGTTTGTTTTTCTGCATTTGGAATGCTAACAAGAATCACAAACATAATTTATTCATTAGTCACAAAGTTCTGTACTGTAGCATATTGTACTATTAATAAAAAATTCCATCCATATAAAACTAGTGGGATATTAAAAAAAATGGAAATAGCTTACAATTTCATGAAAAGTCATGTCTTAAATGATTCTGCTCGGTTTTACTTGTACTAACCTTTGGCCCTGGTATTCCGTCTTGTCCTACTGCTCCAGGCAACCCAGGCTCACCCTCAAAACAAAAAAAGATACTACTAAATGAAATAGACAAAATCAATACACTATATAGATCATTAGAAGATACAGTGATCCAATAATGCTCTAAAAGTAGACTGAAGCTAAGTGTCTACCAGTGTAAATACAAGTTAGCTTGTTTAGTTCAAAATTCTATGTGCTGGGTACCAAGGATAAAACAGGGCTCATTTCCTTTGTTCAGTCTTTTCTCCATTAAGAAAGCTGAAACAACTTACCAATATGAAATGAATATCTAGCATGGTGCTGGGTACATTGTAGGCATCAAATACTACTTGTTAGATGAGTAAAAGACATCTGAAAACATAAGGCTCTCCTGATGGAGAATTTCCAAGTGATTCATCAGCTCAGGAAATATGGCCTAAATCATTCTGTTGATTAGACTTAATCAAATGAGCATTTCCAAATCTAAATCTTGAAGAACATACACATCTTTGAACACCTACTAAATTCATTTAGACCCATTTGACACAAAAATGAGAAGTAAAAGTGGCTTTTTCTCTTTCCAATTTTACTATAAAAATAATTAGAATAAAACATTCAGACTTGTGGCTCTCATTCTCATGTTGAGGGACAGGCATCTGGGGAAAAGATGATGGCTATTAGGTTAGAAAGTGTCCCATTTCAGAAAGATGATGATGATGTAGACCAGTCTTTCTAGAGCCTGAACCATTCATTGTTTTCTAAAGAGGAGAAGTAGCCTGAAGGGCCCAGAAGCAAAGGAGAGATACTCTGGCTCTCAATACTTCCACATAGATCAAACTATCAATCGGAAATTCATTTTCTTTTTAAAACATTCCCAAAGCTTTTTACTATGTGTTCCAACTACTAGACAATTTTCTTCTTTCACTGAGGGTAGTTAAGTTGCCCTTTAGTTGGTTTAAAAAAAAAAACACCCCCAATTTTATTATTAGATAAGTTTTAGATTCACAGCAAATTTAGTTGATTTTTAAGCATGTTTTCTAAGTCACTTGGAGGGCAGGGATTGTGTCATTTTTGTATTTGTGCTCTCAGCATAATTATAGAATTAGATGATGATAGTAACATTTTTAAGTGCCAGGAAATTTACATTCATTAACTAACTTAATTCTCACAAATTTCTATGAGGTAACATCTCTACTTAATAGATGAAGAAATCAAAGCACCAAAAAGTTAAGCAATTTTTCCACATTTACACAACTGTAGCCAAGATTTGAACTCTCATGATCTGGCTTAAGAGGTTGTGCTCTTAACAACATGATGCATAGTTGAATGAATGAATGAATGAATGATTGAATGCATGACTGCATCTAGAAATTAGGAGAGAATGATGAGTATTTCTATCCTCATTATCGTTTGGTTTATACTCCTCATTTATAAATGACATTTCAGAATGTATAGAAACCTGAATTGAACATTACATATAAAGACGATTTAGGTAAACCTACCAGATAAACTAAGCAATGTGAAGCTTATGATATCTTTCTAGAAGAGCAACAAATGTTTTACTACTATACTGAATTATTAAAATTGTAAAAGTCTTAACTTCCTGGAAGAAATTCTGCTTCCTATATAAAGTTCACTATACTCATAACTCTTGCACTTCCTTTGGTAAAATGGCAAAAATGTTGACTTGGAATAAATATGGCCTGATAGGAAAATTTTGATTGGCCATTTGTACATCACAAAGGGTAAAAACTTGGAAATCGAATACACCCCGAAGGGGGACTATCATTTTACTGTGCAACCAGGAAAAGAACTATCAAGTCTGCTGTCTTCAAAGACTCTCCAACAGGATGCACTCATGTCATAACTCATTGTTTGATGCAAACAAGAGATGCTGCCAACGAACAATACAAACCTTGCTTAGACTTTCAAAGAATAACCATGGTAGCCAGAATAATAATAATAAATGGTTAAGCCCCTGGAACTGAACAAAATACATGCTGAGATTTTGAAACAAGGAAGAGAAACATTGCTTAGATATCTGCATAACATCTTCCATAATTTATGAACATTGAGGGACTAAAACTTGATCCCTTTTTTCTTTGATTTTATATATTGTTAAAATAATCTTTTAACGTAAAAGGAAACAAAAAATTACACCCATAATTCCATCACTTTATAATAATTGTTTTCATTTTGTCCTAGTCCCTTCTAGTATTTTTTTTAATGTATGCTTACTTATTTTCAAGCAATTGTAAACTGATTACATAGTTTGACATTTCGGTTTCTTATTATTTTATACCACGCATTTGTTTTCACACAGTATTCATGATTGTCTTGTGAGTAGTTTGATTATCATCTATCAAAGTTAGGTGTGATCATTTGTTTACTCTGTCTCAAATTGTTGAATACTTAGGTTGTTTCCAATTTTTGTTATTAAAGATAAACTAAATACCCCATAAATATTTCTTAATTGCTTTCCAAAAGGGTTCTGAGTTTTACCTGCTTGTGTAGGCAGTCTGTGTTACTTTTCCACAATTTCATCACCACTAGATATCACAATATTAATTATTTTTGTGGCTATTTTAATAAGCACACATGAAAGTTTACTGTTGTTCAGTTTTACATTTATCACTTGCAAGATTAAGTATTTTTCTTGTGTTTATAATTTAAATAGGTATCTCACAAAATTTTAAAGCTAAAAAGTGAATAAGCTGTTTCCTGAATGAATCAAAGGAGGATGAAAAGAAGGAAAAATGACTTACAGCATTTTGCCTTTCTAATAAATTATATCAAGAAAAATATATTCAAACTTAGATTCAGAGGTTATGGAGCTTTCTGTTGTTATCCAAACTTAGTTTCCCAGGTTGAGAGAAAGGAAAGTTAAGGATAAAATGCTGTACAACTCTGAGTACCAAGGCCACACTGTGGAATACTGGAAGGCATTAATTCATTTAACTAACATCGAGTTTAGTGAAAATTTATTATATTTCTACTCTGGGCTGAGTATTTCATGGGGTATAAAGATAATAGGCAGGACATGCCTGTGCCAAAAGAGCTTATTTTTGAGTAAGAAAAAAACAACAAAAATAACTTGAGGACATCTAATTGAAGTCATAGAGCTTTTTTTTGAACAAAGTTTTATTGTACTTCATGAAGTAAAGAGGTATAATAAATAGAAATCAGAGATAAGTCTTAATAATGAACCATATGTCATATAGAATAGTCATATTTTCTGACATATGAGGACAAAATATAATTACCATGAGGCCTCTCCAAATAGTTATAATATTATATTATTACATAATGTAGTAAAAATGTACAATACATATGCAGAAAAATATATCAGAAAAGTACAGATAAAAAAAGGGAATTAGGTTTTGTGTGTGTGTGTGTGTGTGTGGAGAGCTAGTCTCATTTGTTGAATGCATCCATCTATTTCTGAATGCATTTCACATTCACAAGTACTGGAAGGCATTCCAGAGATAGTAATAAAGAAAAACAGCAGCTAACATCTTAACTGCAGGTAGTTTGATGGGGTTTTCTCTACTATACCTTAAACTCTAAGGCTATTCCTAGTGTATTATTACCAAATGACAATTTGAGTATTGAAGCTCAAAATAAGTTGGACTGACTTTTAAGGATGGCTTGCTGCTTTCTTTTCTCTTTTCTTTTCTCTCTCTCTCTCTCTCTCTCTCTCTCTCTCTCTCTCTCTCTCTCTCTCTCTCTCTTTCTCTCACTCTCTTTCTCTCTTAAACCAAACACACTTTAGAACTCTAATGCAAAACATCACTGAAGGCTTTCACAATTATTTCAGGTACTGCTATTCAGGGGCAACTTGAAAGAATACTTAAAGATAAAAAGGAATGCAGTTCTCTCATGGAATTGAGTGCTAAAGGGAAACAGGTCATTTAGCAGTGACATTGCTCACCATCACTCGATCACATTGTTTTCCATTCTGGCAATGGGAATTTACAATGAGTCGTAGCTTAGAATTTTTAGCATAATATAATTTTATATTCACTTGTCAAAAACAGATTTGTTTCCTTTACGTACTACATTTTCTTAAAGAACTTATCCAAACAGAAGAGGAGAATAATGATAAGAAACATGGACCAGCAGTGGATGGAGCGGGAAGAGTCAGGAAATAGGGTTTCTGCTCTCCATTCAATATGTATTCTCGATCTCTGGTTTAGTTTAGCTTTTCATTCTAGTTTCCTAATGGCAAATGAGTATGAACATGAGCTTGGGTGAAGGGAGGAGGTACAAAATAACCAACATATTTTACCTTGAAATTTATAGAAATGTAGCATTTTACCACATCATTATATAAAGTAAGAATCCTAGCCCCAACCTTCAAGTGTTATTAATGCTGTGAACTCCCAGGGATACCCCCCGCCCCCCCCCCCCCCCCCAGCTTAAGAAGTTTGATGCAGGGGAGATCCAGTCAACACTACTAACACACAGTTTAGTTCTGCTATCTTTTTCATAAATTTGTGTGGGTTGGCCTGTGGCACTATTCATCCTTGGAAACAGTTCTTCTATATACGTTATCTATACATATTTGAATCTGAAACACAGCCCGCTTGTATATTGGAAATTGGTAATCCTTGCATTCAATGAGAAGCAAAATATTTGGTGATGTTATAGTTAAAACAAACACATTTACACATGTACAACTCAATCCTAAACAGCACAAAGTAGAAGGACAAGCTGGGATCAACACCAAAACCTGATCCACGCAGCCATACTGACATCAGAGTAGCCCATGTTAGAGTCTTACACGGAGCAAATAAACTGAATAAACATAAAATTAGTAATTTACTTGTTGTTGGATATATATACCATTTCACAAATATCTAGCAGCAATGTATTTAGAATCCAAATGGAAAAGTGTTCTCAATCCCACATTATTTGATCCAATTTGTTCATTGGATAATTTCCCGACTTCTCTTTCAGTCTAGAACTGCTGAGCCCCTGTTCTCATGCCATAAAGACTGTGATATGAGCTAAACCTTGCAAATGAGCAGAGTTCAAACCTGTGTTGTCCAATAT